CAGCCATGCATGGCTGGCTGGGGAATTTTGGGAGTTGAAGTCCACATATCTTCAAGTTGCCACGGTGGAGAAACACTGCTCCGAAGAGTTGTCAGTCCCAGATCCAATGACTTAGAAGTATCTTCCATGATTAATTTGGCAGATATTACCATGTTGCGACATGCGTATAAAATAGCACAAGACTTTATCGCACTCGCCACATATGCAGCTCAAGTAAGGTACTCAGGTGAGAATTGGGGCAACAGGCTTTTTCATTAAAAAAAAAAGCTCCTGCCAGAAGAAGTCCCAGGCGAAGACCCAGTGCCAACCTAGAGTTGTGGGAATCTCTTTCCAAGGCTACTGTTTTCCAGTTAGGAGCTGGAAGTAGAAGTCATCTGAGCTTGAAGACCAAGGTGTTGACTGTGCTTATATAAACACGATCTCAGACCTGGCTAATCCCTGCAGCTTGGCAAACGTAAGGTCTATTGTTCTGTTCCTTACTTGAGGAAAGCCTTGGTAACTCCCTCAACTAAATTAGGCTTTCTGGTAACTCCCAAGGCTAAATTAGTGTCTCAGCTCCTATAACCTCCAGATTCAACCCCCAACGCCTCTTACAGAAGTCTCAATGTTTGTTCTACAAGCATATCTTTCGGAGAACTTTGCATTGTGTGACTGCAAAATGCCAGACTGAGCAAATAAATTGCATTAATTCAGGTTAGCAAAGCAGGCCAGCTACAATTTCTGCAGTCAAAAACTCCTGCTCTCACCTCTGAAGAGGTGAAAAACCCCTCCTGTATCGCTTACCCTGTCTCCCCAGCATGGTGACCCCCAAATAAGCTGGGACTTCATCTCTCATAATCTCTTTCAGCCAAGGAACATGGAGAATATGCCTAGGAGGGAGTCAGTTACATGGAAAAGTAGCTTTGGAAACTGATTTTCAGCAAAGCAGGTTGCAGAACTTGAATACAATGGGAGAGCGAGCTAAACCTAAAACAGAATCACTGTTCTTTTCTTGCACTCGTTTATTGCTGAAAATAGGAAACATACTCTCTGTAGTATTAATATTTTGATCCTAACGTAGAGTGTGGAGATGCAGTGGGAGTTTGGTGCTCCGTGGGAAATACCAAACACAAGATTGGTTTGGAACAATAAACAGGGGGAGAGAGAAAAAATATACTGGGATCTGAAAACCTCCAAGTTGGTAGAGTCTGCCAGATGACCTTTTACATACAGTATTCAATAAATTAATTTTAAGGACAATCAAATTAGCAAGGGTGCAAGGACTCAAGTGTGGGAGAACCGTAGATAGTTTCTGCATCTAGTACAGTGTTTCTCACCCTTTGGGCTTTAAGGGGGGTGGACTTCAACCCCCAGAATCCGCCAGCCAGCCTCTTTTTCCAGACCTTGTTCCAGGGGATGCTGACCTAGGGGATCTCCTGACCTCTTGGACTGGTGATAATGGGGTGCAGCCAAAACAAAACTTTGTGCATATGTGTGTATGTAGGGTGATGTGGTATACATGGCTTTTAGTATCCTATCCTAGACTTGTTCTTCATGCTAGCTTGTTGTTAGGTCCAACCGAAGGGATGGAGAAGACATGGTGCTATTTACCCAGGGAGAGAACTAGGATCCAAAGCAGCATAAAACTTAGGGCCAGAATGATCCAAGTCCTTGTTGTTCCCTGTGAATCTTCCATCTCTTCAGTCAATTAATGTCTTGCAAACATCCTTTGAGTGATAATACTTCTAAAATGCTGCACATCTATTCAGCCATTAAAAGAACGTTGTAGGTCTTAACAAATACTTGTGAGTGATTTGGTGAAGTGCCCTTTTTAACCCGATTGGATTTTTGGTTTGCACCTTAAACGTGACTTCATTTTAAACTGTCCTTCATTTTACGAGATGCAGCAACATTTTTTTTTCTTCTTGCTTTCTACGAAAGTGCATACTTTTGATTGATTGAAATGCTTTTTTACAATGTAAAATAAGGAAAATGGGGGGAAAGCCCTTTTTGTTTGTTTGTAAATGTAGGAAAAGACGAATGCATTCAAACAAAGAGAAGTCTTCAAATAACCTGCTTTAGAGTTAGAAATAAAGATTTTGTTTAAGTTGTAATTTTGTAGATTAGGAAGAATTTAGTATCATACTAGGCTGCTACACAATTTGACCAGCGTGATTATTAATGGAATATTACCTTAACTGAAAAGGTGCTGCTCTGACCTTGAAATAAAACTGCTTTGTAAATTTAAAATTCATATTATTTTATACGAAACATAAAAATACCTCTCTTTTTTACCTCTCTTTTTAATTCTACAAGATTACAAAGTGCTAGGTGTTCTGTCAAAAGCCTTCTGTGGGTGATTTTCTCCACACACGATTGCTAAAACAAAGCTTATACTGTAAAGCTGACTCAGTGCATTGAAACCCTTGAAATCAAACCATTATTTTAACCCACAGACAGATTCTCAACAGTTTTCTCAACAGCTTCCACTACCTGTGTAGGCTAAAGCGGCGAGGTGCTGATGCACAGCGTCACCCCCCTTTCAGCACCCTTGCTTGGTGGGGTCCGGAATCCGCTCGGCAACCCGGGGCCCACCAGCGTTCCTTCATACCTACGTTACAACCTGCTGAACCACTGTGTGTTCGTGCGAGCATCGTTGGTTTCCACAGTGCAGTTTTTTCAGCAGCCTTTGCAGTTTGCTCGGAAAGTTTTTGCTGATATACCGATACAACAGAGGCATGACAAAGCTGCTGGAGAAAGCCAGAAGTTTGGACAGTCCCTTGGTAAAATGTAATCCTCGACTGTAGTTTTCGTCCATCCCTTTTCCTTGCAGGTTGGCTAGCGTGCTTACCAGCAGAGTCACGTAGTAGGGTGTCCACAGGGTGAACTGCGCACACACGGTAGCAATCAAAAGCCTGTGCACAGAGGGGTCTAATCTTCCAGTGTCTTGGTCCAGTGGCGTTGCCTCCTTGCGTATTCGCAAAATCAACACAAGCGCGTAGAGGACGGCAGTGGCTGGCACGATGTATCCGATAAAAACCATGATGGCGTCTGCGGCTTCTTTGTTCTGCATTTTGGAGCATTCCATTATTTTCGTGGATACGTGATTGCAGACGTAGAACAAGAGAGAGGAAAAGCTGGTGAGCATGGCTCCCCCCCAGATGAACCCGCACACGTGCTTTGTGTTGTACACGCTGGACATGTAAGTCCTTGGCAGAGCACGCTCAATGTAGTAGTCCAAACTGAGTAGCGCGGTGGAGTACATGGTCACCAAGGACGACACGTTGAATAAAATAAGCAGGGTAATGTAGACTTCGTTGCTGAAATCCCAGATGGCCCATTTTGTGCTGGTAGGTCCTAGCAGGTACACGGGGGCCACAGCGTTGATGATGAGGCCAGCAATGGCGATGTTGACGAAGTAAACGTCCGGCATGGTCATTGTGCCTTTGTTGCACAGGTTGACCAGGACCAGTAGCCCATTATAACAAAGGCCAATGGGGAAGCAGAGGACGAGGTAGAGCAAAGAGAAAATGGAAATTACAAGATGAAAATCGTGGCAGAGGTTCTGGTCGTCTGTGTTTTTGGAACCATTGAATGCTTCGCAGCGCCACATAGTGATGTTCCCGGGGTCGGGAGTCTTTTCAGCTGGTTACCAGCTTTTCTACAGGAGAAGAGAAACAGAGAATGTCTATATGCTTATTTTAAGAGCATGAAGTAAAAAAATAAAATCCTCTCTCTTTCTTCAGTGCTGAATTGGATCAGGTTTGAGTTGCGTTATGGGGCAACAGAAATATCAGTTAGGAAATTATTCCTTTGGGGTTCCCCTAGGCCATGGATTTCATAGATCCACACTCAGTGTTCATGTCCTTAAAATAACAACAACAACAACAACAACAGCAATAATAATAATATCATCAGTAGAGATCCTGTGATTCTGATGGGTTAGTTATCAATACAGCTTAATTATTAAGTAGTTTTTGTTACTTTGGGTTAAGGCAGTCCTCTCTCACTTTGCCTTCTAACCATTACAAAGGATGTATTATTCTAATCCATTTTTGCAAAGTAAAATAAAAGTAGATTGCGTGGCAAATCTTTCTGAAAACTTTCTTTAGAAACTTAACTGAAGGATTAGTTGTGCTGCTAATCTGGGCAAAGACATGTTTTTTCTGTAACACAGAATAGCCTTAAAGGCAACTTTTTATATGGACATGCAAAACATTTCTGTGTTCCAGTTATTAATAGTAGAATTGAGTCAAGAAGCACTGTACTCTTAATCGCTTTCCAGTATTTTGCACTGTGACCTTCTGTTTTCTACTTTTAGACACATTTTATCTGCCAGAACATCCACATTATTCCACATGTTTATAAATCCTTCCTAGAATTCATCCCTTATTTATTTGGCATGAGTCAACCTTCCTAGATCTGGCCATTTTCATTTGGAAGACAAGACCTTGGCTTTTTTTTTTTTGAAGGACACCACACCTAAAGAGAAGAAAATTCTGCGATTGCAACTACAGATATTCATCCTCAGCTGTCCTTACCTTTCTTCTTCCAAATTTTGATTGCATCCCTCTGTGGTTCAAGGAGGCTTTTTTACAGTATACATAATTTAGGAACACACCTTCATTTATTTGGAGGGGGTGTGTTTCCCCATGAGAAAACAGTCATCCTAATAAAAGGATAACCACTGAAATGAAGAATGATTAAGGACCAGGTTAAAGTGAGTGACCTTGATGGATTTCAATTGATTCGAGGGTACGCACGTTCAGAGAAGCTTGAAGATTTCTCAGCTGCATGAGAATCATTCAGCCGAGGTGTCAAAAGAGCTGCGCTGGTGTGTGTAGATCGAAAACCTGGCCTAGGATCAACCTTGCACTGTGTGCGCGTTTTAAAGCACATGTTCTTTGTTTGTGTTCCAGTTAGGACTTCTCTGACATGTCAGAAAGAAAACCTCAATGTCTTTATCAGAAATAAACATGACTGGGTAATTTCTAAAAATTTGCTTTCCTCATGTAAGACAATTTCTTCCGCCCCCCCCATTAATGTTTTTATAATTGTGCCAAATTAATGCTTTTGTCATTGCTTTCCTCCTAACTTAATGTAAAGGCGTGTTTACTGTAATTTCTTTTATTAGACTGAAGGATTAGCATTACGACTTTTAGATAGCATCTCTCTCAAATCTAGAGCTGTGGGCGCAAGCGCATTTCCTTCAAAACCATTAAAATAAAATGTAATGTTTTAAAAAGGCACTTCAGGCTTTTTCCAAAATGAGGTACTGTTCATCTAACTGGATCGTCCTACTGGGTTTGCTAAGATCTGCCCTCCCTTTTATCAAAGCAGCAACTGGAGATAAAACATTTTTTAAATCTGGGACCTTCCTAACCCCAGGTTATGCTGCATTTTCTCCAACATGTCGCCCTTCAAATGTTTGGATCTGCAGCACCATGAATTCTCAGTCAACCTGGACAGTGGTGCGCTGGCTGGGAATGCTGGGAGTTGTAGTCAAGCATACCTGGAGGATGTCGGTTTAGAGAAAGCATCTGTGGAGATGGGGACCTTACTGTTGAAGCCAACAGGGTTCTAATAGTCACTGGGGTCATTGCAATTTTGATTCTCCCTGCACCACGTTGCTAACTCTTATTTGCCTCTTGGAAGTCAAGAGCCAAATGTCCATTAATTCCTGGGGACCCCGTTCCCGTCCCACTCATTTAAAAGGTGCTAACTTTGACCAACTTTTTCCCCATAAAGTGAGAGCGGGACTCCCCAAGTTGCTGGGTTCTGTTGCTATACACCCTCCTGTGAAGACAGCAGTGCTCTTTGTCTCCATGTTCAATCTCCATCCATGCATTCCTTTGCATTACAGATCAATTCATTGGGAAGGTCGGGATGAGAATCGGTTAGAAGGCAACCCCGCATTTCTCTCGGCTCCGTAGCAAGGAGAGGACTGCATTTGTCTGATTAAGCTCCACATCAAACCACATGCTCTTTCACATTTTTTTTTTAAAGTGCTATAGTACAGCCTCCCCTCTGCCGTCAACCAACACATATGTTGGGTTTTAACTCTTTTTTCTCCCCCAGACACCACAACAGTGGGAAAGGCCGTTCAGGCATGGGGAGCACCCAAGTCCATGGATCTTTTCCGGTTGAACACAACGGATACGTTCACCTTAAAGCAAGTCACGTTACAAGGTGTAAACCTGTACTTTGAAGCTGATGACCATAGTGGGAATGTGCTCCCACCCCCCACCCCAAAAAGTTTATCTTGACATTTAAGCAGAGTTCTGCATCTCTGCCACACTTCCAATTTCTCTTGGTGCAATCTCCCATTCTTTTATTTGCTTTGACAACGTTTTGCCAGGGATGTTTGCTCTGCTCCCCCTTCGGCAAACACCCATCCCCATTCCCGCTGTTACCCAACCTTTCCCAGCGCCTACCTTCGGTCCAGGTCGCATGTTCCTTTGTACTTGGGAGTCAAAAATGGCTGATAAATAACATTTCAGGTGAAGAACGGGTGCCGAGGGGGGCTCACATTTCCCCCCCTTCGCGTCGCCTACCACGGTCCTAGACCCTCGGGCCCGGCGACGGAGCGTGGTGTTTTTCCTGCATGTGAGGTGCACTTGTTTGTCCTCTAGTAAATTACTCACAAAGTTTCTGCTTCTGTTGGCAGAGCCAGTGTGTAGCTCCTCCCTAGGTCTGTTTACAGCCAGTTGCAAGAAATAGGAAACTGTCTGATCTGAAAGGGGAGTGGTGCATGACATTACTATGCTCTGAGCCTTCGCTTGCTTCCAATTGATTGGTAGAAAGGGAGATATTCCTGGAATAATCCACTTGGTGTTGGGTTACAGTTGCTGCCTCCCCCCC